AGTTTCTGCTGTTGGGTGTGGCCTATTATGCTAATGAATTCCTGCTCGGCTTTTTCTACAAAAAAAGCCCTCTTGTAATGTAATAACGCACTTTGTACTTTGCATGATAGTTTATCTTATAGCAGGATAAATATTTTTTGCAAAAAAACAGATTCTGTTTACATTCTTCAAGGTTGCTTTTGTATGTTTGGCCGAATCCAGGGTTTGTTTTTTTTTTTTAAAGAGGTGCCGGAACTCTCAAGAGAGGGAAATGAAGTTTTCAACCTGTATACACATGCAACAAGCCCCGCCCCCTGCTCCCAGCATCCCTCAGTCAGAGCAAGAAGCAGCCAGGTAAATTGCAGAGCACCCCCCCCCCAATCCAAAACAGTCCAGTGGAGCCTGAGCAGTGGATGTTGGCTTCTGACACACTACCGGTGATGTCAGAGGGTGTGGCATATACAAATGAGTTGTGCTAAGGAGTTATTCTAATGAGCTCCTGCACCTCTTTTTCTACGAAATGCCCCCTGCATGTAACAGCAAGGAGCAGGACACATTTAAAGGTCTCTCCCATAGAAGCCATGCCACCATACTTCCACGCATGTGCCACTGGAGTGGCTGGTCACTTGTGATAAGGAACAGCAAAGATTAGGCTTCTCTGTCTCCTTTTGACTGCAACATGGATGTGAATTGGATCTACCTCAATAACTTAAAGTTTTACCTTTCTGCACTATACTTTGCAGTTTATTTACTGCATGCAATACCATGCTTCTAAGACTGAAACTCGGCTATGTTAACTAATACATACCCCCAATGTTTCTAACAATACAAGAACAGTCCTGCTGGATCAGACCAGTGGCCCATCTAGTCCAGCATCCTATCTCACACAGGGGCCAACCTGATCCTCTGGAGGGCCAACAACAGGCTGTAGAGGCTGAGGCCTTCCCCTGAGAAGAACATCAGAAGAGCCCTGCTGGATCAGACCCAGCAGTCCATCTAGTCCAGCATCCTGTCTCACACAGGGGCCAACTAGCTCTTCTGGAGTGCCAACAACAGGGTAGAGAGGCTGAGGCCTTCCCCTGAGAAGAACATCAGAAGAGCCCTGCTGGATCAGACCAGTGAGGGCCCATCTAGTCCAACATCCCATCTCCCACACTGGCCAACCAGTTCCTCTGGAGGGCCAACAACAGGTCATAGAGGCCGAGGCCTTCCCCTGATGTTGCCTCCTGGCACTGAGATTCAGAGGTTCACTGACTCCAAACGTGGAGGTTCCCCTCAATCACCACAGCTAGTAGCCATTGATAGACTCATCCTCCAGGAATCTACCTAATCCCCTTTTCAAGCTGTCTATGCCTGTGGCCATCACTGCATCCTCTGGCAGCAAAGTTATGACACATATAGGTACATAATTCACACTTCTGCCCTCATCCACTTGTTAGACGTCCCTAGCCAGACGGACCTTTCGAACTAACTTCTGACCATCTGCACCCTTCATGTCCCTCACTGCTCTATGCCAATTGCGGTTGGGACCACCAACACCATCAGAAAGAAGTTTTCACTAGCAACTTTCTAAAGAAACGAGTAGAAAAGAGCAAGAGACCAGTAGCACCTTAAAGACTAACAAAATTTGTGGCAGGAGAGAAGCTTTCATGAGTCACCGCTCACTTCTTCAGATAGGTAAAGGTACAGGTTTCCCTTGCTCGAAAGCCAGTCGAGTCCGACTCTAGGGATGTGGTGCTCATCTCCGTTTCCAAGCCGAAGAGCCAGCGCTGTCCAAAGATGTTTCCATGGTCATGTGGCCGGCATGACTAGACACCGAGGTGCACGGAACGCTGATCCCTTCCCACCAAAGCGGTACCTATTTATCTACTTGCAATGTCTTGCTTTCGAACTGCACATCCTGTCTCACACAGGGGCCAGCCAGTTCCTCTGGAGGGCCAACAACAGGGCATGGAGGCCGAGGTCTTCCCCTGACAAGAACATTAGAAGAGCACTGCTGGGTCAGACCAGCGGTCCATCTAGTCCAGCATCCTTTCTCACACAGGGGCCAACCAGGTCCTCTGGAGGGCCAAAAACAGGCTGTAGAGGCTGAGGCCTTCCCCTGAGAAGAACATCATAAGAGCCCTGCTGGATCAGACCAGCAGTCCATCTAGTCCAGCCTCTCGTCTCACACAGGGGCCAACCAGCTCCTCTGGAGGGCCAACAACAGGCTGTAGAGGCTGAGGCCTTCCCTTGAGAAGACCATCATAAGAGCCCTGTTAGATCAGACCAGTGAAGGTCCATCTAGTCCAGCCTCCTGTCTCACACAGTGGCCAACTAGCTCTTCTGGAGGGCCAACAACAGGGTAGAGAGGTTTTCCTTCCTCTGAGAAGAACATCAGAAGAGCACTGCTGGATCAGACCAGTGAGGGTCCATCTAGTCCAACATCCCATCTCACACAGTGGCCAACCAGCTCCTCTGGAGGGCCAACAACAGGCTGTAGAGGCTGAGGCCTTCCCCTGAGAAGAACATCATAAGAGCCCTGCTGGATCAGACCAGCAGTCCATCTAGTCCAGCCTCTCGTCTCACACAAGGGCCGGCCAGTTCCTCTGGAGGGCCAGCAACAGGGCAGAGAGGCCGAGGCCTTCCCCTGAGAAGAACCTCAGAAGAGCCCTGCTGGGTCAGACCAGTGAGGGTCCAGCCTCCTGTCTCACACAGTGGCCAACTAGCTCTTCTGGAGGGCCAACAACAGGGTAGAGAGTCTTTCCTTCCCCTGAGAAGAACATAAAAGAGCCCTGCTGGGCCAGACCAGTGAGGGTCCATCTAGTCCAACACCCCATCTCACACAGTGGCCAACCAGTTCCTCTGGAGGGCCAACAACAGGGCAGAGAGGCCGAGGCCTTCCCCTGATGTTGCCTGCTGGCACTGAGATTCAGAGGTTCACTGACTCCAAACGTGGAGGTTCCCCTCAATCATCACAGCTAGTAGCCATTGATAGACTCATCCTCCAGGAATCTACCTAATCCCATTTTCAAGATGTCTATGCCTGTGGCCATCACTGCATCCTCTGGCAGCAAAGTTATGACACATATAGGTACGTAATTCACACTTCTGCCCTCATCCACTGGTTAGACGTCCCTAGCCAGACGGACCCTTCGAACTCACTTCTGACCATCTGAACCTTGGGACCACCAACACCATCAGAAAGAAGTCTTCATTAGCAACTTTCTAAAGAAACGAGTAGAATAAGAGCAAGAGACCAGTAGCACCTTGAAGACTAACAAAATTTGTGGCAGGAGAGGAGCTTTCATGAGTCACCGCTCACTTCTTCAGATAGGTAAAGGTAAAGGTTGCCCTTGCTCGAAAGCCAGTCGAGTCCGACTCTAGGGATGCGGTGCTCATCTCCATTTCAAAGCCGAAGAGCCAGCGCTGTCCAAAGGCATTTCCGTGGTCATGTGGCCAGCATGTCTAGACGCCGAGATGCACGGAACGCTGTTCCCTTCCCACCGAAGCGGTACCTATTTATCTACTTGCAATGTCTTGCTTTCGAACGGCTAGGTTGACAGGAGCTGGGGCCAGAGATGGGAGCTCACTCCGTCATGCAGCACTCGGGTCTCGAACTGCTGAACTACTGACCTTCTGGTCTGCAGTTCAGTGTCTTAACCACTTGAGCCACCGCAGCCCCTTTGTTCTTCACATAAAAGGTAAAGATTCCCTTGCTCGAAAGCCAGTCAAGTCCGACTCTAGGGTTGCGGTGCTCATCTCCGTTTCAAAGCCGAAGAGCCAGCGCTGTCCAAAGATGTTTCCGTGGTCATGTGGCCGGCATGACTAAACACTGAGGCGCACGGAACGCTGTTACCTTCCCACTGAAGCGGTACCTATTTATCTACTTGCAGTTTCTTGCTTTCGAACTGCTAGGTTGGCAGGAGCTGGAACTAGAGACGGGAGCTCACTCCATCATGCGGCACCCGGATCTTGAACTGCTGTACTACTGACCTTCCACAGCCTGCAGTTCAGCGTCTTAACCACTTGAGCCACTGCAGCCCCTTTGTTCTTCACATACTGAAGGCTTAAAAAGGCATCTGAAGAAGTGAGCGGTGACTCACGAAAGCTCACCCCGTGCCACAAATTTTGTTAGTCTTTGAGGTTCTACTGGACTCTTGCTCTTTTCTGCTGCTACAGACAGACTAGCATCGCTGCTACCCATTTTGATCTATCTCTACGGAAAAGAAGTGCGTCAACCACACGCCCACTTACCTTGGACCGTCAGCTCGGCAATGGTTCTGCTACCTTCCTTCATCTCACAGATGTAGACGGCATCGTCGTCCATGGTGACATTCTGGACCGTCAGCTTCCGACACGTCCCTTGTTCTTCGATGTCATACTTCTTACTCTGTTGGAGTTTTGTCTCTTCTTTGAACCAGGTGGTTTCCGTGCTCGGCACGGGGACCTCACATTGGAAAGTCGCCGATTCCTTTTCCCGGACTTCCAGATCTCTGAGCTTCGCTTTGAAAGGGATCCTCGGTTCTTTGGAACAAAGAAAGAGAAAGGCAGGAGAGCTTAGAGCACGGAACAAAATGTGAACTGTCCAGGGCTCCTTTTGTAGAAAAAGCCCAGCAGGGACTCATTAGCATAATAGGCCACACCCAACCGCAGGAAATCATTAGCATATTGGGCCACACCCCTGACAGCACAGCTCATTAGCACATTAGGCTGCACCCCCATGTTCCCAGAAGTGTGGTCATCCAGCCACACCCACCTTTTGCTTCTTATTCTGTTGACCTTGTTTGTTGTCAAAACCCAGGGCCTTTTTTTGTAGCAGGGACTCCTTTGCATGTTAGGCCACACGCCCCTAATGTAGCCAATCCGAATGAGTTCCTGCTGGGCGTGGCCAATTTGGGAGCCAGCCGGAACGCCGTTCCTGTGCGTTCCTGCCCAAAAATAGCCCTGGAACTGTCTAAGAATCACTGTCTAAGGTACCGGCTGGATATTAGGGAAGGGTTGCCAAGTCCCTTACTTGGCACAGCGGGGGAGAGTTGGGCCTCGCCCTGGACATTCTCTCGCGCGTGCCGCGATGACGTCACCCGGAAGTGACGTCCTCATGTCGGGCACGTCGCCGGCCGACACTCTAGCAATCAGCCTGGAAACCCTATGGTACCATAGAGTTTCCAGGCTGATTGCTAGAACCTCGACCGGCGACCTACCCAACGTGATGAAATCATTTCCGGGTGACATCATTGCGGCAGGCATGTCGGCCTGAGCCAGACGCTTTGGGGGTGGGGTTGCCCCTGCCAGCTTGACCCAGACCAGTGGGGTTGGGGGCAATGCTCCCTCTAAGCTGTGGAGTCTTGTGAGCAAAAATTCTGCTTTGTGAGCTACTGGCATGAAAGTTGTGAGCGGGCGATTTGGCACCTCCCTAAATGAGTTTGCTCTGGAGCCCTCCTTCCTGAGCTAAGGCAAAAATGTGTGGGCCAGAGGCTAAAAAACTGTGAGCTAGCTCACACTAACTCAGCTTAGAGGGAACACTGGTTGGGGGCCCTTTGGGAGGGCAGTCCCGTACACACACCCCAGGAGACCTGGCAGCCCTATATTAGGGGAAACTTTTTTACAGTCGTTGTGCCACAGTGGAATCGGCTGCCTCGGGAGGTGGCAAGCTCCCCCTCCCTGGCAGTCTCTAAGCAGCGGCTGGACAAACCCTTGTCAGGGATGCTCTAGGCCAGTGATGGCGAACCTTTTAGAGACCGAGTGCCCAAACGGCGACCCAAAACCCACTTATTTATCGCAAAGTGCCAACACGGCAATTGAACCTGAATACTGAGGTTTTACTTTAGAAAAAACAACTCACACATTAACTTAAGATGATCCAAACAAAGTAAGGAAAGAAATCCCAAAGGCTTTCATCGACTTAAAATTATTTGGCAGAGAATTCGACACTTTAATGATGGTCTGGACCTGGCTGGGGCGATGGCACGCGTGCCCACAGAGAGGGCTCTGAGTGCCGCCTCTGGCCCCCGTGCCATAGGTTCACCACCACTGCTCTAGGCTGATCCTGCATTGAGCAGGGGGTTGGAGTAGAACTCTGTGATTCCATGATCGTAATACCAGAATAAATGCCCACCTCCGGTAAATCAATGGATCAGGACGGTACAATTTTATCAGTACTTGAACGCATGACATATAGACGACAATTATGTATGAACCTATTTTTAGCTATTTGGAAACCTTTCACAGAAGCTTCCAGGCAGCTCTGCCACCACTGTTTATTTCTACTCTCTCTATATATATATATGGGTTCTTCCCCTTTTTTAAAAACGGCTTTTCATTCAGTTACTGGGTTTCAAGGTTCCCCCCTCTTGTTCTCCCCCCCTTCAATCAATCAATCAATCAATGTTTTTAAAAAACAGTGCTGTACAGTCTGCCCCCATATTCTATGCACTGATGTACCACAATGCAACCACAGAGAAATATGGAGAGTTAATCAGAGAAGCATCAGGCTAGCGTCATTTGCCCCACCTACCTCACAGGGGTGTCTATTGTGGGGAAGGGAAAGGAGACTGTAAGCCGCTCTGAGACTCCCTTTGGGTAGTGAAGGGCGGGGTATAAATCCAACCTCTTCTATAAATCCAGTCTCTCTATATATAGATATGGGCAGGGGTCATTTCCTGCAGGAGCGCACAGGAGCAGAGCTCCGGCAGTAAAGAGCCCAGGGGGCTGGCACATGCAACAAGCCCCGCCCCCTGCTCCCAGCAGCCCTCAGTCAGAGCAAGAAGCAGCCAGGTATGCAGCAGAGCCCCTCCCCCCGGCACCCCCGGTCCAAAACAGTCCAGTGGCACCTTTAAGACCAAGTTTTATTCAGGTACAAGCTCTCCCTCCTCTGCGAGGACAGATCTGCACGTTCCTCCCCCCCAAATAGCGAGCAATCAAAAACAGTCCAGTAGAGCCTGAGCACTGGGTGTTGCCTTCGGACACACTTCCGGTGATGTCAGGGGGTGTGGCATATGCAAATGAGTTATGCTAATGAGCTCCTGCTCCTCATTTTCTACAAAATGACCCCTGGATATGGATATATATCCACGGGGGCATTCATGAATCAGAGCTCACTTTCACTTTGACATGTAGAGGTGTGTCTCCTTGAAGCTTCTTCTGCCCAAATTTCATTCCCCTCCTGAATGTTTAAAAGGTCAGAAATCAGTTGTGTCCCCTGCCCTCCCAGAGGGTAGCCAGCGTGTGCAGAGGTCATAAATCATTGCCAACACCATGACAGTCCACCTGTTTGAAATAACAGTCTGCTCTTCCCGCATGACAAACAACTTTCCCCTTGCTCCCTTCTCTGTTTGGAATACTTTGAATGCTTAAACAATCGGTTACTTTAGAGATGAACACACAGAATTCCAAATCCAAGGGGCTTATCTACACTTTAAAAAGCACATGGTACAGCCATTCCTCCTGAGACTATACCATTTCAGACTACTGGCGGGACATAGTATGTTTAGAGGCCGGTCCCCACCCTAAAAGTGTTGTTTCTTTTTATACGACTCCTCACAACATAAATCCAGAGCGATTGGTGCAATATTATAAGTAGGAACACTAAAAAGAATATCAGTTTAAAGTAAAAATAACAAACTCCCATCGTATCTCAGGAAATACTAAGCTGGCAACATTTTTTGGTAAGAGGTCAGCTTTCCTTAGGCATATATTATTATTATTATTATTATTATTATTATTATTATTATTATTATTATTATTATTATTATTATTATATCGGATGGGAGTTGATTATGTAAGTCATAAGAACATAAGAGAAATCAATGTTGGATCAGGCCAATGGCCCATCCAGTCCAACACTCTGTCTGTCACACAAGAAACCAATGTTGGATCAGGCCAATGGCCCATCCAGTCCAACACTCTGTCTGTCACACAGTGTCCAGAAATGTTCCCTCTAAGCCGTGGAGCCTTGTGAGCAAAAATTCTACTTCATGAGCTGCCGGCATTAAAGTTGTGAGCAAGCAATTTGGCTGCTGCATAAATGAGTTGGCTCTGGAGCTGTCCTTCCTGAGCTGAGACAAAAATGTGTGAGCCGGAGGCCAAAAAACTGTGAGCTAGCTCACCCTAACTCACCTTAGAGGGAACACTGGGAGCCCTCCCACTGTTGCCCCCGCCCCAAGAATAAAGAACACAGAGCATCACTTGCCCCAGACCGAGAGTTCCTATCTATACCTTATGGCTAATAGCCCCTGATGGACCTCTGCTCCATAGGTTTATCCATAACAACATAAGAGAAGCCCATGTTGGGTCAGGCCAGTGACCCATCCAGTCCAACACTCTGTGTCACACAGTGGCCAAAAATACCAGGGGCCCTCAGGAGGTCCAGCAGTGGGGCCAGGACACCAGAAGTCCTCCCACTGTTGCCCCCCCCCCGAATAAAGAGCATCCCTTGCCCCAAACTGAGAGTTTGAGAGCCGACCATGCAGGGTGCTGTGATTGTGGCTTTTGGCCTGATTTTGGACCCTTCAAAAGTGACCAGAAGGCTTTTGCTGAAATTTGACCTTTTTTGCAATATACTTCTTGGGAGATCTATTTCCCGCATTCAGTATCATGCTTCTATGACTGGACAAAACGCTGCTATATTAACCAAATGACCCAATATAAATGTGGACTTTGAGAACTGCTGATCTGATAAAGATTGGCTCCGATCACACGCAGAAATAGCAGGAGATCTCCAGGCTCCAGCTGGAGATTGGCAACCCTATCTCTGGAGGAAGAGGAGGAAGAAGAAGAAGAGGAGGAGGAGGAGGAGGAGGAGGAGATTGGATTTATACCGCGCCCCTCACTACCCAAGAGAGTCTCAGAGCGGCTTACAAACTCCTTTCCCTTTCCCTCCCCACAACGGACACCCTGTGAGGTAGGTGGGGCTGAGAGAGCTCTGACATTTTGGAGGTCATTAATTCATAGGGTTGCCAAAGGTCAGAAGTTACTTGGCGGAACTTAACACACGCACAGAAATTCCACAAGCATGGTGCGCAAAAGGTTCTTTTCCAGTGGACTGTATCAATGGACTGCAATTGCTGAGGAAGCCTGTGGTACCCTAACGATTAGTCAGACACCCCTGCTCTGAAAGGGCCCAACCTCCGAGACAAAAAGGGGATCCAGAATAATCCATTTTTAAAATTTGGGCTAGCAGATAAGACAACCCTGACCAAGGTGACCTTCCATTTGGTGTTGTGGTTAGGAGCGCGGACTCTAATCTGGGAGAACTGGGTTTGAGTCCCCACTCCTCCACATGCAACTGCTGGTGTGACCTTGGGTCAGTCACAAGTTCCCTCGGAGCTTTTTCTCTCAAGGGCAGTTTTTTTAAAAAAATTATATTTATTGGTTTTCAAGTTTACAACCGTTTGTCCACATAGGCATATACATTCTAGAGTCTTTTACTTATTCTCTAACCAATTATACATTCTCAACCACCTTGTTATAAACATTTCTTCACTTTTTCCTTGCAATATTAGATTTCATTTATCCATTTCAGATAC